GGTCAAGGTGGCCGTTGCTCGATCGAGTTGCGCCTCTAAGCATGGACAACGGTCTTCGTACGAAATCGAGTCTCCCGGCCGGAGACGATATCTCGAAGTGGGTTAGAGCCTCCTGTGGGGGGCCTGCAAGTTCCTGATCTAAGACGCCGTTGTGGGACAATAAGGACAAGCCCGTACCAGATCAGCATTCTTTGTCATTGATGAGTAAAATATCGATGAGACGCTCATTAGGAAAAACGGTTTGGACATTCCAGAGGTGGTAGCGAAGGCAGGGTTCACTCGAATTTGCTTCTTGCTGCCACACGCACAGAGAGTCAGCCACGACATTGAGGTCTGTTTCTTGTCAGGTCCTTTTTTCATTGTTCTTGACATCCCAGAGCATCTCCAGCCGCGCGTTTCAACGGCGGATCGGTTTGTTTCCGACCCTTCGGAGCCTCATCAACGCTCGGGGACATAATTCTAGGAACACAGCAATCTGCCGCGGATCTCAGGTACCTTGCTCTGTAGGGCCTTGCCCGAGATCTCCCCTTTGCCCAAACGTCATAATAAAGACATGGGTTTCGTCTTCACATGCTTTGCAACTGTAAGATGCGGAAATGAGGCTTCTATAGCCCACCGACTGGTCATGACTCAGTATAGCCTGAGTTTCCAGCAAAATGGTATCGATCACAAATTCAACCTTGCTGCCGAACTAATCCAAGGCATCACGACACTAGCTCGCTTGCCGGAGTGCCGCGATGCAGATACGTATAGCCTTTTGCTCAGGATCCTTCTTCTGTGTGGTTGCACACGAGCAAAAGCAGGCATTCCAATTTGAGAAGATTTCTCGACACGAGTGATATCGAGCACTTGGCGCTCCAGAAGGGCAAGGTTGCTCAGTAATGGCAGGGGCTAGTATGTGGTTTGAGGTATAACAGCCAACCACATATAGCCTTAACTCAGGTACTATATGGCCATGGAAGAGCTTGATTTCATTTCGGCTTGCGTCTCGGTCTTTATCCCTACTGGACACGACTTTACTGTAGGCCACATATCAACAAATACCCGCACTCGTCATTCGGCCGTGGCTGGCGATGTTCAACATGAGATGAGGTGCTACTCATGTGGGTTTGCTCGCCGTAGAACCAGGTAAAGAAGAAATTCTTGCCCAATACTTTATGCTGGCTTACACATGCGCTATTAATCGCTTTGCGCATTTCTTTGCCAGACAGAAGGTGTTGGTGCCAATGCCATCATGGTCAAGCCAGGTCTAGAACGGATCCTTCCCGCATCCCGCCCTGTCCCATATGCCCTGTTGTGAATGCGAGACTGACATCAGCAAGGAAGACGTGCAGAAAATCATCGACTCCTTTTGGACGCTATCGACATTTGAGCCAATCATGCCACACCAGTTCGAACCTGTAGAATCAGGGGACTCTTCGACTCCTGACTGCCGTGAACGGTTGAACCCACCGTGCGCACCGCAGCGATGACCCCAGATGATCTTCGTCGAGGCAGAAAATATCCGGCATCCAACGCCCCTGACCAGTCGCCCCGGTCAGGCCCACGTATTGGGTGGGGTGTAGTGTGAGCTTAAACAGCTCCTCAAGAAAATATCATACGACTATTCATCACTACTTGGTCTATCACTATTCTCCTGGTTGTCCATCAATTATGATATTTTTCCCAAGGGAAAAAAGAATTGTGCAAGTGTGCATGAATGTTTTGCGTCACAAAAATAAGCTCCGTGGAGACTGCCACGAGGCCAGGACTCTTGACTGAAGGTCATCCGGCTTCCGGCGGACGTGATGCACACCTTTGGGAGAAGGTGGGTGTGCAGGGCCATGTTCAATATGAATTTGCATCATGCCGCGTCAAGGCAGATGCTATTTTAATCATTGCTACGTCTATTTCCGTGGTCGACCGCCGCCGGCTTCGACGATCGACTTGGGAAATTGTCCTTACGGAGCTCGACCGAGATTTAGGAGGCTTCCTTTCTGACTCTCGGAATGAACAAATCCTATAGCCCACTCGGTCATTGCACAGGGCTACACAGAGTTGTGACTATTGCTGACGTGCCGTTGCGGGCAGACCTGGACGTATGTACTACCTACTTGCGCATCCAATCAGGCAATAAGCAAGCCGGGGTCTTGGCAACCGTTGTGGCTGCTGTATCGAATCGATGCATATACACCAACCATACCTAAGAAGAGCTGCTTGTGTGCTCCGAACAAAGTCCAGCCACTCGAGTGCGAGCATTCTTGGTCCTCGATATGCCTGACCAAGCCCTACGATTTGCGATGGGCGTGTGGCGCTTCGAGCACTCGCTTGTGGATCTAGATTCAGGCACCTTGACCCAAATGGGGAATGTGATATAGAAACTGGGGGAGTGGCTCTGCTATCGGGCCTGCAGCTCAGTCAAGCGCTCTCACCCTTTTGCCGATACGCTACAGTTGCCTGATCAGTCCAGTCAGAAGCCTTTGGCGCGATGACGCATGATTACCCATGGATAACTCTTACCTACGCCATACTCAGTATTGTCGCCAACATAAGTCTTTACCCACCGTCCGTACAGGGCAGTTGTGCATTCACATTTATTTGTTGATTACGTACAGGATGTCTAATCGACTTGGCCGTGCTAGACGAGCTCGCTCTCATGGCTCCTCGCTCGCTCGCTCCAGCATCGAGGAGGAAGTAGGAGGCCATGCTTTCTTTCCCAAGCTCTTTGTTCCATTATAGCGGTCTTAATGCCAACGTCTACCCGGTTTTGGTCTCTAATTACCGACTGTTGCTGCGGCGCGGTAGCCACAAGATCCATCAGCATTGACAGGTCGTTCACAGAGATTGGGAAAATTTAGAAGAAAGAAAATACACACCTCTTCTCATAAAATAGTGGCTACTTTGAGAAGAAAAAAAAAACTAGGATCTACTACCGCTCCCCGAACGCCCTTCGGTACAAGTTGCTAACTAGCAAAGCGCCTGTCTTCCGGTCTGCCAGTCTGCCTCTGCGACCTGTGCTCTGGTCTGCTCTCGAAGCGAGCTTACTGGGTCCCCGCCGGTAGACCCCTGACCCTAGTCCGTGGGCAATCTCGTCAACCGATTCCCTCCACCCGCCGTTGAATCCTTGCTCGCGCCATACATAGTACACACCACTTACACACCCTATTTCCGCCTTCTCTCTATGTATCTCTCTCTTTCTCTCTCTTCATCGGCGCCTGTGCCCAACGGCTTTTCTGGAATAATTGCGGGACCTCCACCGTCGGAGCATTTAGCTAACTAATCAGAGCTCAAGGGTTGGGGGCCAGGGCCTGGCATTAAGGAAGGGAGGGGGGCCAAGGGAAAGAGGGTGGTCCTACTTCTTACCTTTGTCCTTGCCCTGGCCGACGACAGACATAGTAGTATGGACGACTCCTCTTGCGGACCCCATCTGTGAACAACTCCAGGTTCAATCGCTCGATGGCCCCGTCCCTCCATTCTGAAAGACCCATGTCTCCCATCTGACCCCTACCTGCCTTCTATGTACTTCGTCCCTCACCACCCACATGTGTTTAGAACGTAGGTAAGGTAGTGAGTGAATGAACCTTTGCCGTAAGTAGTTTGTTTTGCCTGTGCTCCTCCTCCTCCTCGTCCCCTCCTCCCCTACACTACGTACATTCCCCCACTGTCTCTTTACCTTACCATACCCTATAGTCATGTAACGCAGTTTGGCCTGGTCCTGCAGTCGCTGCTGAATTATTTTTTTTTGTTTCTCCTCCTCTTTTACTCGAACTAGGTACCCAGGTACTGTACTTCTGTGCAAGTCCCCTCCCCTTCCCCTTCTTGCCTACCCTGGTCCGGCGGCCGGCAGAGAGAAGAAGAAGAAGACGACCAGAGGTTAGCAGCTCATATGGGTGGATTAGCCATGGATGATACATGTGTACACTTCTCGTCCCATGTCGTCAACGGGGGAAAGGCTTGAAAAGAAATAATAAGTCGAGATCGCCTGCAACCATTTGTAAGTTGCTACTGCTGCAATAAATTTCAACGCATCTGCTGCTGCACGCCGGCCACAAGATCGCATTAAAGAACCAACAATACATACTACCAAAGGACCAACGGCATACGTAATTATTTTGAGCAAGCAGCGGTTGCAATTAGTAGCAGCATCCCACAACCACAGCGTCTACCTGAATCCCAAGTCACCTTCTTCACCCACTCCCTTGGCGTTCCAGGCGGAAGGGTACCTACCAAAGGCTCGCAAGATCTTTAACGTCGTACTGAGATATCGAGGTGCCGAGAAACGATACAAGCCGTGTACCATCCCGGTGCCCTTGCCAGATCATCTGCTCGCCTCCGTCTCCTTCCCAGTCTGGTTGCACGCATGCACTGTGGTCAAAAAGCTGGCACTCACCACGCGGTAGTCGCTTTTTAGACCCAGAACCCAGATAGAGACACTTTCTTTCTCACTGGAAACCTGGACCTAGCAGAACGGCCCTGGGCTATTGGATTTCTCGCAACCTTTCGCCGAACCACCCCCCGGGACGTTATACATCCATCCTCGACGTGGGACCCAGCAATATTGTACAACAGCCAGACAGCCAGCCAGACAGACAGACAGCCGGGCACAGACAGAGAGAGTGAGAGCCGTTGTGACTATTACGGCACACGCCCACACGCCCACCCTCCCCCTTCCTAGCCGCTCGTTCATATCTAGCGTTAGCCTCCTTCACCCTCACCTCCATAAAGTACATGCACAACCTTCAACCTCACCTTTGATTTTCATTCTCTCCCCTGACTCGCCCTCTCTTGCGTAATCCTCTCCAACTGTCCTCCTCTTGGATCGGATCGACGAACCAACGCAAGAAGGGTGTTTCGGTTGAATCTTGAAAAGGACAACACTTTGCCATCCTCCAGGTCAACAAAGACAGCCTTTCTCCTGTAGGAGGACAACCTCTCGATCACCTCTTTCTTTCAGGATTTTCCGGAGCCCCTTTTGGAAATAGTATGCTCCCATGTCCGCCACAGCGACGTTAACGGCGACCATGGCAGACCTGAAGGAGCCGGCGCATGGTGGTCTCTGGTCGAGTTATGCCGGCTCAACAGTACCACTGTCGACTCGCTTCCCTCATCATGTAGACTCGGCGCTTCCGCATTCTTCAGCGGCACCGCCTCAGCACAGCGCTGGCCGGACAAGGACCAGCATCGACCACCCATTCACCTACCCCAGGTACTCTCAAGGAGATACGGACGCCTTTCACCGGCAGCAGCAGCAACAGCAGCATCACTCGTTGACGCAACACCACAGTTATCCAAACCTGAAGCGCTCCTATGATGAGAGCGAGCACCCACCATACCAGGAGATCGTCCAGGACCTCAGAGATGACGGCTCAAAACTCACCGTCAACCACGACCACAAGCTGCTCTCTTTCCGTCGCGTCCAGGACAAGCACACAATCGTTGACCAGCATGGACGAATGCAGCAGCTCGAGCTCTCGGCACAATTGCACGGGATGTTCTTCCTCTCGGAAATGCCAGCAAACACTAATGATGGGGCCACTATGCAGCCAGAACTTACCTGCTACCGCCGGAATCTCTTTCAGATCAGTGGATCGCTGATCACGCCGCGAGGCCAGTTGTCAATTCTGCGTGCAGAGACGGGGGAACAGGTCCCAGTGAGCAACACTGAAGTGACAGTATCAGCCATCGAGTCGGTTGACGGACACAATGTCCGACTTATTGTCATCCCATGGAAGACGCCGCCACCAAATGCGCCAGAGCTGCCTCAAGGACCCGACCAGGAGCCGCCTTCTTTGCCATTGATTCCTTTCCAGGATGACGGTACTGAGACAGATGGCGAGTATGCGGTCTATCCCATTGGCTGGCGGCGTCTGCAGTTCCGAATGTGAGTTACTCGAAAGACGAGTACTCAAAGTGCTTGCTGCTAACCTTGATGACATAGTGCCACTGCCAACAATGGAAGACGCAAGGAGCTTCAACAGCACTTTGTAGTGCACCTGAAGGTTATGGGAACACTGAGCGATGGAAGCAAGGTTGTGCTGACGGAAGCTACGACAGCTCCCATCGTTGTGCGAGGGAGGAGCCCGAGAAATTTCCAGGCTCGCAAGGAGATCCCACTTCTGGGATCAAGCGCTGGATCACGAGGACAGGCTCTCGTCGAGACGGGGTTGGGAATCGTTGCCGGGCCTCTGAGTGTCAAGCCCCAGGATAACAAGCTGAGGGGATTGAACCTGGAACTGCCGCGAACTGCATTCACGTTTAACGCGACAAAGTTGCCAGGGACTCCTGTGACAATGAGATCAAAGTACGTGTGCTCTCCGTGCTCAAGGTCGAGGGCATGTCCCAACGACCGACCTCAAGCATCTTCCATACCTACTTCTTCCCTGACCTTCTGCAATCAAACAAAGGGGCACTGGAACGTATTCACTAACCGTCAATAGCTCATATCCCTCTTGGAACCCGGCTAGTCAGCTTCCCGTTTCTCAGATGCCTCAGTCAGCGACGGCAGCATACGCACCAACCAGCCTCTCGGCCGAGGCCTACCAGAAGTTGCCAATTTCGGGAGCGCAAACGTACTCGACCGAGCCTCAGGATCTGCCTCTGCAAGCGACCATGCCCCCGGTCCAGGTCTCCATGGTAGCCAGCGAGCAACAGCCCGCAATCCGGACGCAGTATGCATATGTCGGAAACACGACAGCGCCGCCGCAGCTTTCGATTCCCGCGACCGCCATGAGCACCGGCTCGGACAACAGCTTGAGCGTGCCCCGTTATGTCGACAGTGCCAGGCCGGCAAAGAGCCCTAGACATTCCACACACCAATCCGTCCACAGCGGTAGCTCGCTGACGAACAACGATGCTTCCGAATACCGCTATGGCTCGTCGTACGTGTCTGTGAATCACCATACCCCTGGCGACTTGACTTCGTCATCATACAATGCCGGCGACAGCGGTTCGGCTGGCGGACACGCCCAGCCTCCCTCGCGCGAGTACTACCCTCCAACCACGACGTGGACAACCACTGCCAGTGAACCCAACGCCACGGTGCATTCGTACCACAATACGGACAGCAGACCTTATGCGTACTCGGATCAATACAAGACTGGGCACGCAATGCCTCCGCTCAAGACGGATCCGAACCAAGCGCAGTCCTCGTACGGTGGTCAGCTGAACCACTACAGCTGGAGCCCGACATGAGAAGCAGCAGCTGTTGCAATAAACTCGTCGCATACTCGAACAGAGTACGGCTCATTAATAAACAACAAATAACCTGGCCGTCATCAAATACCAATACTCTGGTATCGGCTAGAGGCATGGCTCACAGGGGGGGCCTGCCAACATACTTGTACTATAATTGATTCAGGACCGCAGGCCAAGAACGGAAGGGCCACGGAATTCTGGACTCCGAGTCCGGTGGTTTCTTGAACGAGAAACCCTCGTTCAAGAAACCAGGGAATGCCCACAAATAAAGGAAGCAACAGGCTTTTGTGAATCGTATCTCCGGTTCGTGGTCCAGGGAGGACAAAAGAGGGTGTTGTTGATGCGGCCGCTGGATATTCCCTTCTACAACCTCCCCAGCATTCGAAAGTGCTTGAACCGCATCACAGCAAACACTTCTGGGCCGATTTTGTTTTATTTTCCCATCGCCCCGATCTCTCTCGAAAAGGGCGCGACGCGCAACAACATCAAAGCGATAGGGGTTTTGGCGTTTGATGGAGTAGTCTGTATACTTTGGAGATTTCCTGGGTTTTCTTCCGGTGGAAAATTCATTTTCTCTTTTTCTTTGTGTAGTTTTTCGCATATTATCTTTTTTTTTTCCGCGTCGATATATATCTGCATATCAGACGACAGTATAGCATATATAGCTTGTAGGATGTGGTAGCTAGGCATTTGTCGATCTTAATCGCAAATAGGGAAGAACCGGCGAGCTGGGCCAAAGTGAGCAAGCTCGAACAAAAAAAATATCAAGTCCAACATGGGAATTATCCATTATTGCCAGTATTCTTTCGTGCTCATCTGCCAAGGACCATGGTCGTGGCTGTCTGAATGGTTGTGATGTTATAATATGTGTATAGTCGTGTTAGCCGCATGATTAGAGCCCAGGCTCTTGTGTAAAGATGTTGAAGAATACCAAGAGAAAGAGAAAGAAGAAGAAGTAAAGGAGGGTTTGTTGTTGGGCGGCAGCGGCTCGTTCGAGAGGCGGCGTCTGATGCCGTTTAAACGCGATTCCCGCCTCTGTGTAACTATTGAGGATCCTCGAGAATTGGTGTCGGGACAGGGAACCAGGTTCAATATCCCGCAATGTTGTGCAGGCGGAGAAATTTTCTTTTTCTTTTTTGGCAAGTAAGCAAGAGATTTGAATGTTTGATACGTGTGTAATCTGCAAGCTGAAGAGGATAAAAAAAGAAAGCATCGGCGGCGGCGGCGGCGGCTTCGGTTTGATGCAGCACTAGCAAGTCGGCGGGCCGCAGGATACGGGGCCCAAGACGTCCTTTTCTCTCTCGACTTATATTGTATGTGGGAGGTTGAGTGAAAGTCGAGGGTTCTCCTTGGTTTCCCACCAATTTTTGGCGTCTGTCCCGGGGCATTTTCTTTTTTTTCGGTTTTAAAGTCGACAAGAGACAGAAAAAAGGAAGAAGGAAAAAACCCGAGCCAAGAAATATATCCAAATGTGTGGATATCATGTGCGGTGCGGCTCAATACTGATGAAACAGCAGAAACATCGGACGGGCGTCGGGACGAGTTGACTCTTTCCTCTTTAGTGAGGCCCCTAACGTAGGTTGGTTGAATCGATTACGTTCTTCTAAGAAACCAAAGAACTTTGACGGCTGGAGCGGCAATTGAAGAGGAATCGGGGTTTCTTGTTTTTTTTTCCTCAGTGATGAATAAAGTATAATCACAAGAGCAAAGGAATTGGAAGAAGGAGAAAAGAGAGGGCAAAGGAGGAAAAGTGAAAAAGGGAAAAAAGGTTATTCTGCCTTAACATGCCTCAACGTTATTCAAATGAGAGAGAAAAGAGAGGCTAGAGCTGTGACGATCCCTGACTACTGCCACGTTCTTCCAATGGGGGTAAGGGAATTCTCAATTCAACTTCTAGAAGTACCTTGGTATTTGGGAATTTCGGATTGAGAAGAACCCGCTTCGCTATTATTATGATTACTATTTGATCTACGGTCCCGTATCAAGTACGCTACACTACTGGCAATACTACTAGCTAGGCAATACGTATGTGCAAGGCCCCAACAAAGACAAGGAGCCCCAAAAGCCTCATCAGGGGAAAGAAGGCAAAAGAGGGAATGACATTTGCACCGGTCCCGATTCCCACATCTCGTTGCAGGGGTTTGGGTTGAGAGAGAGAGGGAAAGATGGGGGGTGGAGGAAACATGGCAAACAAGAAAGCTGGATGGATGATCATTTGATCACGCGGCTGATCGGTCCAGCTAGCTACTGGGATATAGGGAAAGAAAAAAAGAGAGCCCATACACAGCAACAAGAAAAACACACATACGCAGATACAGCAATAGATGAGCAGCAGCAAGCAAGTCGACATCTCAATTTCGCAACTTTGACTAGAGTTTTGGGTCATGGGTGTTGAATGGGGAAATGCCATTTGCTGATCCCCTCCCAGTGGCCTGGAATTACCCGCCCCATCCGCTGTTGGCTGGCGTCTTTTGTCAGTGCACTACCGGTAGGGTTAGTGGATGGAGGGGGAGAAGAGGGGCCCCATCAACGGGAAGTCCGGTGCGTCGTACGGTACCTTTCTTATTAGTTGAGCCGCTTATTGCGATTGAACGCGCCAGCTGGCCGCCAGTCCAGGTTTGCTCTCTTCAGCAATTCTTATCAGCAAAACCGAGATTTGGCGTTTCGCTCTGACAGCTGCCAGAGACATCATCAGACCTTTTACAAAGCAAATTTCCCGACCCTCGTCCTCGCAGCGCCATCACATCACGATATTCTGTCCAGCGTCACATTGGATGCGGCGCCGCGCAAAATTACTCGTTCCCAAAACAGCGCAAAAAGACCCCCCCAATCATCAACATTCTAGCCTTCTTGGAATGCAAGACAGTCCCATGAAATATTGAATGAGCTCATTCCCTAAACAGCTCTAGCTACAGCAAAAGGACATTGCAAAACAGCCCATTGAATCCCAGTTTTTGGACTTTTGTTTCTCTTGGTGCAGTGCGGCGCCTCTTTTTTTGGACCACAAACAATCTATACACTAAACCATGTTCGAGGTCCCAGACTCGAAGCGGTCAGTCTTTTTGCGCCGATCCCGAGAAAACTTAGAATGACCAAGACAAAAAAAAATTGTTGGCTGACGTCTATCATGTACCAGGGTCCGGCGTGACGAGTTGTTTAATGATGTTGGTAATGATGGAGACGCACCCTCGGATGCCGAGGTCAGTCTAGATGAGGATGCGGAAAAGGAGCTGCGTCGACGACTCAATGCGCAGCTTTCCGGCCTGCTTGACTTTGACATTACTGCGCCCACTGAGCCTGTAAAGGGGTCGTCAGGGCAAGTTATTGGCGAAGCTGCTGCTGCCGAGGATGGGGAAGAGGAGCCTGATGAGCTCGCCTTTGAGTTTCGCCTTTTCCGCGACGAGGCACCTAGCCATACCGTCGTCATTCAGCAAAATGAGGACAAGCCCGGCGCTCTCGGTGCCGGTGGGTTCGTCATGCCAAGGCGGCCGGACGCGTATTACATCGCCGAGGCGCCCGACGCCGCGACGCTCGAGAAGCTCAGGTACTCTGCCGTCTCCTCGGACCATCTCCTCGCCGACGCGGGGCGCAGACGTTGGGGCCTGGAGAGGCCGTGGCGGGTGTTGCGCATCAGCGTCAGCGGCAAGCCGTTGACAGACGGATCGTCGTCCGCCGTGACGGCTACAGCAGATGATGCAGACGCCAAAAAGAAGAGGCGGCCCGGCAAGAAGCGCAGAATCGTCCTCCGGACGCGCGCCAAGGCAGAAAAGGAAAAGGCCGAGGCCGCGCGCAAGTTCCTCGAGAGCAAGGAGGAGCACCTCAAGGCCAAGAAGCAGCGCCTGAACCGGGAAAAGAAGCTCAAGCGCAGGGCCAAGGACAAGGAAAAGAAGGCAGCCGCTGGCGCAACCGGTGACAGCGGTTCAGTGGCCGGGCAAGGGGCTGATGTGGAGATGGCAGACGATATCAGCGATGGCGGTTCGGCGGCGTGATTTTGAAGCCTCGTGCCACATGCGATGAATTGAACCCGAGTGCATACGAAAGTTGGCATTGGTCATAGCCCATGGACAGTCTCTTGAAACCATTCTTGTCACTTGGTATAAACATATTTGGAGATTGCGCGGGCCATCTCCGTCGTGCTGCAAAAATGGCACAAAGACGGCCTGTTCTATATGCCAATTGTACATCCGGGCAGGCTGTATTGTCACATTTGATGCAGTCTTTAGGGCTGTAAGGCTCTATTTCTTCATGGGCGGCGTCGTTACACGGATATCTGGCCTTGCTATTCAGTGCTGGAAATCAGAGCTGGAAGAGAGGAATCTCTGAAGCTGTGGCTCAAAACTCGGCGGGTTTCCATTAGGCACATCCAGCTGGTTATACGCATGATGCACGGTGAAAATTTGGGGCACATTATGGTGATGTTACCTTTGAATTTGGCACAAGCGTCCTGTAAGGGTCGAATGACGGAAGCAAAACTCCCACGCAACGTATTGCAGCGTTGCCTGCAAATAGTGATGGTTCGTCTCGGTACATACTTAAAGGCCATGGAGACTTGGTGCGAAACGGACATACAACGATTGTTATCAAGTATGCATCATCATGAAGTTGTGGGTGATTTGTTGAGTGCACCTGCAAGATCAGGCGGATCTAGGCAAGGGCCAAGCAACAGACAAGATGGCTGAATTCCATAATAGTCATTGTTACACACTGTTCGTAAAGGCATCCCGATGGTCCTCACCGTCAGAGCCTCTTGTGCAAGTACATGAGATATACTTTACTGTTTAGTAGATATCAAATTCACCTACGTATTAGTCTCACACCACAGCAGCAGCAGGCGCCTGTTTTTGACATTGTGAGGCCCATTGTGCGACATTTGTACTGTAGCTCATCGATATTGGTAAATACTAAGAGCTCTACCAGCAACTAGTGGGCGATGTGAGATAACCCCAATCTGGAATGCTTTCTTCGCTTGGGAATATCACGGTTAAGAGCCTGAATCATTCCTCCTGCCCCTGAATCTCAGTCCCGAGGATTGCTCATCCAGCACTCGAACATCAACACCCGTGCGTGTAGCTCCCTCCAATCTGTTCATTTCCCGTTTCCTTCGCATAGACTCTTGCCAAACATCATCTTCATTGAATCCACACTCGCACAGTGCCTTCTCCCATATATCATAGATCTCGTAGTCGTCGGCTATCTCGCAAAGCATGAGAATTCGATCACCAGTTGCAGATTCGTGGATATCTGCGCCAGCAGAGATCAATGATGTAAGGAGATTTATGCATCTTTGATGATCTTGGCTCTTCGACTTCGTGTTGAGTGGAATCGCTTCACCTGACATTTGACGGTCTGGAAGTTCTTGGTCCGAGGTCTCGAGACGTTTGAAGTCGTATATAAAGTATAAGGCGAGTGCAAGGGGGGACCACCCCTCTTCTTCGCGAATATTTGGATCTCCTCCGATATCCAGATAAAGCCTGAGGAGAGTCTCGTGCTCTGCCATATTTTCAGTTCTCTCCCACCCGAATGATCGAAAAACTGCACCATATCTCAAGAACAATTGAAAAACCCGAACCGCATCCTGGAAAGCGAATCCTTGACAAATATTTTCGTAGAGATTGGTCCAGCAAAACATCAGTCCTGGCGAAGTTGGGTGTGGCGCATCGACGCAGTCTCGAATTGAAGGTAGCAGTTCTTCAATTTGATCAAGCTTTTTCGGGTATAACACCCACCTGGCAAGGTGATTGAATGGAATCTCATCCACGTCATCTAGTAGCATTCTATAGCCACTTTCATGGAGGAGATATCGGGAAATAGATGGTGCCCCCAAAGCGACTGACAACTGGGTAGTCACTGAGCTTGAGGTCATGACACAAAGAGCAAAGAATCACAACTTACGAAAAAAACATTGAGGCCATTTCCATCTCTGTCTCTGAGACTCAAGCGCCGATCTTGGAGCATTTCCATAAAAGCGGCAAGGTCATCGTCATAAAGTATATCGTAAAGGGGAGAATCATCCGGGATAATCGAGAATAATTGAATACGTGGGAGAATGTCATAGTAACCCGCGTTGTCAGGACCGGACGAATATGCAATGGAGAGTCCCTGTAAGCAGAGCTGTTTTTTTGGTATAAAGGTGAGTGTGATTCGGAAGTACTTTTCGTCCTGCCTTGGTACGCTGTTGCGGATGCGGTAAGAGGTAACCTTGATGACCAAGACTCCAATTGGAGTTCTAATGTAATTGAATGTAGAGAGCAAAGGCACAACTTGGGGCTTTGCCAGTGTACGATTGGATGAATGAGACAGGACAAGAGACGTTCCATGGCGGGTCATAGACTCTTGTGGTGAGTCCGTGGAAGAGACACCAGGTCCGGGGCTACTCGCGGGACTATGCGATGGACTGGTTCGGGTCTTTGCATGGTTCGAGGGCTCAAAAATGTTTTCTTCGTGCGCCTGCTTGGAAATATGGGTCGCAATCCCGTCTATTGCCCCAGAGGACCGACTAAAATTGTCCGAGAAAGGTGTGAGTTGCCGCTTGAGTTCAGCCCTTACAATCTGGCCCAGGTTGTGAGAATCATTCGCAGCTACCAAAGTCTTCGATATGGATGTTGCGATATTTTGCATACTGCTCGCTACATGACTCTGTACACGATCAAAACCTTCAAGAAGTCGGGTATCCATAATGCGAGCCAGTTGTTCTGATTCTTGCTCGCGGTATAGCAAGCTTTCAGTGCAGTGATGTTTGTGACACCAGACTAGAGAGGAGGTGAGTTAACTCTCTATTCTGATTGCTAGAAGTGCATCTTGGTAGTAATGAACACGTACCTGCTTTTGACGAAGGGGCCCAGTAGTCCAAGAAAGCCTTCATATAGGCTGCAGCCGTGGCAGCTGCATATCTTTGCCACCGCTTCGACTTGTGGCTATCGGCATAATCACAAGCGCCTTTGATGACAACGCAGGGAAAATTGTCCCACACGCCCGCGCTCTCCATTTCGAAAGCAATCACTTTCTCCTGCTTTGCAATGGTGTCGCGCATTTCGCCAGATTTCATGACTGTATCGCCCGACGCAATTAGTCCGACGTGCGCAGCGGGACGGTGCTCCAGGGCAGGTTCAAGACGATGACGAATGATCAGTGAACCGCTACACCCGACTTTGTCGCAGACGCCTGTTTCGTCAAGATGTCGATATCTCGAGTCAAACAGTCAGTCGTGCTCAACTCCTGGGTATTGGGCCAGCAGCCTTGATTGTTCCTGGAGTAGTTCGAGGTAGTAAGCCGCCTTATTGTCCAAGTCCTCGCGCACCCGTAGAACTCTCAGCTTTGCCAGCAAAGACCGTATCTGTACATTTGGCCGACCCAGAACATCATGAATGGTGTCCTTGCGGACAAAACGAGTGGGCAACTGCCGGCCGAGATCGTATTGCACCACACCGTCGCTGATAATGACATCGCCGAGCACAATCTCCTCCTTTTCTGGCGTATACGGCGTTACGCCGCAAACTCCTACAATGAGCGCAAGCTCAATGTTAGGGAACGAGGACCGGCACTGCGCGGCGGCAGCTGCAGAGTGGACTTTGCCCATGGCTGACAAGTGCACCAGCACGACATGATGCCGACCGATGACGCCAAACGTGTAGGCATTGACATCGCCGGCAGCCTTACTAGGCAGGGAGTCCTGGTAGTCATCCCAATGTTCGTCAAAGACGGCATCTGCGGCGTCGGCCTCGAGGGGGAGAGCGCAAAACACGGCGACGTGAAAGTCGCTCGGCGCCGGGCGTCGCGACTTCCTTGCGCGAGAGTCGTCAGCAGCCTCGGGAGCTGATGATGCCGAGGAAGCCATAACTGAGCGATTGCTAGCCAAACGTCAAATGAATGTTGGGCGACATATCTTCAATAAGCTGTGGTTCAAGAAGGAGTTCTTTGCACAATCTAGTATTGATTGCTAGTGTCAGGTTCTCTCGGACCAGCAATGTCAAGGAAGAAGAAAAGGGAAAATATGCCCCATTTGAGAGAGCGGCTGAAGATAAGAGGGGTAAGTGTAAAAAGTACACAAGGCTTTTTCAATCAGACATCACCTGCAGCCCCCAAGGAATGGCTCTGCATCTCGGCTTACGCCCAACCTATATGGCGAGCCAGACCCGGCTTCCTGGCCCTATCATTGGACGAGGTGATTGGGCAGCTTTCCAATCTCTGGGGATTGCTTTTAGCAAAGTCAGCATCTGAAGTGCGTGATCATAAACAATAGAAATGAATAGAGTGGTTGCCGATGAAATAGCGATAAAGACAATGGAATGAAGATTGAATGATGCGATTTGTATCCTAACCTTAGATAAGAAGACCGACAATCAAGGGTGGCGTCCATATCGCGCGAACATGCCGTGCATATCAACAAGATGACCAGCCCCAGCCCCTAATAAGGCTGTACCCCTACTAGTCATTCTATGACATATATGGTGAATAAAATCAGCACATGTGCAATGCATGCAACCACAAGACAGACGTTGAACAAAAGGCCATGATTTATGTTGTAAATTGTAAATTTATTGTATGTCATGTATCAGCGTACAGGCATAAATACGTTATCAAATTAGAAAGGCAGACACATGAGCACATGTTGCTCCCATCACGTCTTCTGCCAATCCTCCACTTGGGTATATACAATGCTTGTGCCTCCTCTGCCAACACAGCCTCCTCACTGGAATTAGAGTTCTGGTGTGGGCAAGGCACAAACTCTGGGACTCGATAGAAAATGAACTTTTGAAAAACCTGCAACGCCTAGCGAAAATTCCACCAAGCACGTGTATAGTATCCAACCCAACCGAGACACCAAATCTCAAATACAGCATTAAAAAGCAACTCCCAAAAGTATGTCCCAAATCAAGAAACGAATATATCTCCTGAACCATTTCCGGTGTCGACCAACATGTTCATGAAACTGTCATTGTTTTCCACGATATTGTTCGTCACCGGAAGTGCAACGTTGGCCGCGAGACCGGCACTGTTGTTCTTCTTTCCTCCCTCGGCAGGGAATTGCAACCACTGATCAAAGTCGATATTCGTGCCAGTTAAGGCGTTCCAATCAAATTCGTCTTGGTGGTTCGCGTTGAAGTCGAGGTCCAGTTCCATGGGCGCAGGGGCACCAGCATCACTCGAGTCGCTCGCAGTAGGGGTAGCATCTTCCTTCTCCGTCGGCGGTGGTGTGTTGCCGGTCGCAATGTGGATTGGCTCAACAAACGCAGCTTTTGGCTGGGCCCGGTCAATCTCGGGTTGCGTCATATAGGGCAAATTCTCCGGCGGAGGAGTAGCCATCTTTTCCGGGACAGGAAACGACGGCGCCGAAAAGCTGTTGTGGTGGGTGGGCTTTTCGAATTCTGTGTTCATCCGGGCAGCGTTGTGGGAAGCCTGAATGTCGATGGCTGCCTTGCGGAGGGCAGCGTCCAGGAAGGCGACCGCATAATCGGCAGCCGAGTATATATCACGTAGTTTCTCCATGACCTTCATGCATTGCCTGAATCCGCGCACTGCCTTGTCACGGGCATGGATGAGCGGGTTCTTCATCTCGAGAAGGTGAATAATCATTGCAGGAAGGATGACCGTCACGCCCGTCGTCGGCAGATACCTCTCCAAACGCAGCTGGTGCATTTCAGCAGCCATGCGCGTGATCTGGGATGCGGCGTCCCGGACCTTCATGCGGGACATTTCTTGAGCCTGTCGCGACGTCGTCGGAGCGTGCATCGGCGATGCGTGGAGGAATTGGGGCCGGTGAAGAGCCGAGATGGTAGTATAGTAGACCATGTGTAGAAGGTTTCGCTGCACAGCAATCGTCCTGTAGCCGTCCTTGACATCCATGGGGGTGAGCGCACGATACTGGCAGCAGGCAGGCAGTTGCTCAACCCAGGCCATGAGTGAGATGTCACAATCGGTGACATTTTCCATGTTGTTGATTTGTTTCTTAGGGTGAAGCATCATGGTGCTGTTGGTCGTGTTCTCGGCTCGCTCGGAATCTCTGACAAGTACCGAATATTGGGCCTTGAGCATCTGGCTAATGCAGAGACATAGCTTGGCCTTGGCCACACACATGGAGGCAAGCTGCTGCTGCATCAAGACGTCCCGGACAAGCGTACAGTCGTGGTTGATGACTTGCACATCATCGGCGAGTGGGCCAATCTCGAAATCGCCTTCTTCCAACATTGGAACATCAAAGTCCTCGTCCTTTATCCTCGTCGGTCTCCTCATGCCCAATGCAATCAAGCGATCACGCATAAAGCAGGACCACCATATTCTCTTCCAGAGCTTTTGTTTCCTCGGAGACATGCTGGTATTGGCAGGGTTGCGGTGGAGACCAATGGTGTGAGCCAGCGATATAGCCACGCCCATCCAATGCCATGTATCCTTTTGGTCATCTGGCGTCTCATACCAGTATGTCATGAGCAGTAACGATTGGACAAGGACGAGACGATCGCTCTCATAGTCAAAATCGTACAAAAGCTAGTACTGTCAGTATAGCCCACATGTGAGTCTCAAAGCGGTATATATCTTACCCTTGTCTTTTGGAAATAGGCCTTGCGGGCAGCTTTCCTGTTGGCGTACCCTGCCTCCTTGAGAATTTTTACATCCACGTAGGCAGTACCGGCAAACATGACAGCGTGGTACAAGAACAAGCTGATCTGCCCGCACAGGCCATCCACGGAGTTTATGGCACTCAAGAAGTCATGCAACTCGAGCAGTGGCATGTATGGGTGAACATACTCAACGTAAGCCCGGAGCAGAGCGTTCTGCAGCGGAAGACTGGGGAGTGTCAGGGCTCCCTTCATGTGCAAATAGCTCACATCCTCGCTAGCAATCTTGGCCGGCAAAGGCCGAATGAAGGCAGGCAGCTGAGATGAAGCATCGGGGTCTTCTAGCGAACTGAGAAACTGAGCAGTCTTGGCCTGACCAAAGGCAGCGGCGCCATCCTGGTTAGTATTGGCGAGATTAGGCCAAATGTTTGGATATCTGGACCCATTGTTGCTGGCCTGTAATTGGGCTAGCATCAACGGGTCTGGCTGTATGCTGGCTGACTGCTGCTGATCTGTAGCACGTGAGGTAAAACCCCGAGGTCAGTGTCCATGCTTCAATCAGAGTGACGGAGCAAACAATCATAAAAATTATTTTCTCATTTGGTGACAGCTCATTGAGAGATGCTGACATTGTTGACATGTGAAAGGGGACGTGGGGCACCACATCACTAGGTAGGGGCGGAATTCTGGGGAAAGCTTACAGATGAGGTGCGGAACGTGACCATCCAAACCGGCGTCTAACAGGTTAGATTGGCTGGGCTGGACATTAACCGCATTCGTCGCGTCATCGCCGGTGGTCGTCGCAATGGAAATTTCGCTCGGCCGGCGCAGATCTGTGGCCGGGCTGATGTTGACGGGGTTGCTGGCAATGTGCTGCTGTGTCTTGTGGTGGTGTGCCTCGGCTTTGTGGTGGGCATGGGTGCGAGCACCAGAGTTGGGGTCGAAGAGATTCTTCCTGCAAGCAATTCAAAACCGGGTTAGGCGAAAACAAGTTCAAGGGTAATCTTTTTTGGAGAAGTGCCACGGGTGTATTTGGGGTAGTGGGAAAAACAGCCAAAGAAACATCCTTTACTTGTAATGACGCAACTCCTCTTGTTTCTTTGGGTGAGGGGGGTTATAGAAGAAGAAGCATTTTAATGGCCCTGGGCAATTGTGCCTGTGTAACGGGTTCGCGCAGGGGACAGCCATTAAAGCGTGAAAAGACAAAGTAAAAATAAGGGACAAGAACACAAAGTGAGACCAGGTCTCAGGGAACACAGCATCAGCTGCTAAAATGGCACACGACCATGCAGCAGCATATGAATAAATGATGTGGACGTGATCGTGAGCAAATAAGCCAGTAGACAACTTACTTTCGTCGGCGGCTCTCCTGGACTACGCATTCGACGTTATCCCACCGGCAGTTGCCGCACGGAGCGCCTTCCACCACATCGCAGCGCACTTTGCGGGCCCGACACGACACGCAGGCGCGGGCAGCTCTTCGCTTGGTGATCTTGGGCGGGCCATTGTGATCCGATTCCGATGCCGTTCGTTTCTTGGGGTTTGCATTGGCACTGCTCTTGTCCTCTGGGCTTGCTGCGGGCACCGTGGTTGTGGTGTCAGCCGCCGCCGTTGCTGATTCGTCGTTGGCCGGCTCGGGCGAGCGGACGTCGGGGTTTTCTTGCGACATTGCGTGTATTGTGTGTGTGTATGTATAAGTGGGATTTGCAAAAGATGAAAAGAGACGACAAGGATTCTTGGCCGTCAAGAAATTCCAAGGTGATCCCACGGAGCAAGGGAGGCGAAAAAAGATGTGCCTCTCAACTCGTCAATTGGGATTGTATTTTCGCCTTCGTAGTCCCAAGGTTTGTCGTCGTGGATGGAAACTCGAGCAAAAGTAATAATATAGTTGGCTGGGTGGCAGCTATTGCGTCAAGCGTCTGCGTTCACGCTATAAGTCGCTGATGGCCAACGGTGATGACTCGGCCGCTGCTGCTAAAAACTCTCTGCCTTAGTCGAGGACTGTTGAACTTCTTTTGACACCCGCACATTTGAGATTTGAATATCGAAATCGAGCATTGGATTCCTGGGATTGCAGTAGCAGTTCGTCAAGCTAGTCGTCGTCGTCAAAGAAGAAGAAGAAGAAAAAAAGGATGAAAGGAAACCCGGACGAACAGTCCGGAAAGCGGGTGGGTGGGGGACCAGGGACTACTAATATATTTCATGGAGATGATCACCCACGCGATCAGATCGTGTCTGTCTTTCTCTGTCTGGTTCATACAAAGTACATGGACTATCCCGTCCCTAAACTACTACATACATGATATTCGAACAAGCATTCAAGGGGTGTGTCTGCAGTGCCTGGACTGTTGCTTGGCTCGTCAATGTGCCCAATGAAAAAGGGAGGGAGGAGTGTGCGTCTACATAGTAGTACGTACGGGACAGTAGCGACTTGGTGGTTGAGATTTACCCTACCAACCTAGTCGTATTGTGATACTGCTACTATTGTACGCTACCACTACGAAACTGGAATGCGTGTCCCCATATCTTTTTCACATCGCGTGCCCACTTGGTCGCCTTGGCAGCCCCAGGAAAAACAGTTATCAGACAGGGGCTGTGTGGGTGAGAGTAAGAGAAGAGAGAAAAACGACCGGCGGCGACCTTGCTTGCTCCCTGCAGAACGCACGCCTTGCTGCTTTGTATGCTTCCTTCTCTCACATGCTTGCATGCTTCACTCATGGCCATCTGACTTGTTTTTACCTCACTCGTGTCCAGCGCCCGCGTAGGACATGGCCGATGGAAGCCATTTCTCACGTTTCCAGAAAACATGGCTTTATTCATTTTTTTCAGCTTTCCTGTGCTGAATTGGGGGACCAAAAAGCTTGAGCTCCACCGTTAGGTAAAATGCCAGGTCAGCAGCCTCCATAGGAAAATTGAGCCTGGGGGGGTCCCACGGATCTCTTGCCCTTTTGCACCAGCCTGTGATGGGCGGCGACCCCAGGAAAGGTTCAGACGGCTCCGCCTCTCCAATGGAACGAAGCGGCCAACTCCACTGGAGGGGGATTTGCGGAGGGGCCAATCAGTGCTGAGGGCTAAGACGCTGGCTCAGCCAAAATTGCTTGCGAGTAAACAGCGCTGGATGATAGGGCCACTCACTACTCGTGAGGTCCCAGCGGAGCACCGTTTAGTTTTAGCAGGACAGCGTCAAGTCTCAACAAGGCTAGACAGGGCCTTCTAAACAGTGTTCCGTAGAATTATCTACTACATGCGAAAATAACATGTGTATCGTAATAAGGTAGGTAGGTATGTAGTTGCAGGGCTGCTTTTAGAGAAGCCCTCACTTTGAAGTTCTGGGTCATGACAGTATCCTACACTACATGACACTAGCGCACAGGGAAGGCACTGGGAAGCGGCATTGTTCCTCTTGTGTCGGCTATTTTCCGAAGCCCGAAACACGACACACTTGCGATTCTGTAGGGCGAGAGGGCGAGCGAGCTTCAGTGTCAAAATGTCAATGCAATTGATGTCACTTTGCTATCAATGGAGAGGGTCTGCAGATCTCTGTTCTTTCTTGTCTGTCCAATCCGAGCCTTCCGTTATTGATACATTCGTCTCCCCCTTCCTTCCTTCTATCTCCTGCTGCATTCGACGCATTGGCAATTAATTACTTGCTTGCATCTTGGGGAGCATAAACGCCGCTGCAGTCTCCGTTATTCTCCGCTTCTAGGCGAACAAACGACATGCCGAGGCATGGAACCTCACGTACAAAGTAAGAGATTCAGATTCCACACAATTTTTTTTTTTTCCTCCTCTTTCGCGGTGAGTGAGATTGGTTCCGGGGGTGCACGCTCGCTCAAGGTGAGTGCGTGAGCTACTGTCGTTTCCGGCATTGGGCCGCGGAATCAACCAGGGGTCTTTGCCAATTGACATACCGCCTTCCTCTGGGTCTTTGGTCTAGGTACTCTGTCTAAAAGTGTACGACTACGGACTAAAGAGTACAAAAAAATTCAAGACTAGAAGCCCAAGGAAGAGAAGAGCCCTTCCGCAATTCCGAGACCGTTCCCTCGTCAGAAACAGCGCGAACGCGAGGCTGGCTGGCTGCTTGCCTGCTCTGGAACCACCCCTGGCCCGCTAGGTACAGCGGCGAAAATCGGGTCACGCACACCACGGGACAGCGGATTAATTGGATCACTCTGTTCGTGAACGGAGGCGTGCCCAACACCTAAAAAAGGCCACTATGGGAGCCACCTTGTGCAGACCATGTGGACCTTTGCTCCTATGAGGTGTCAAACATTTGCAATGGCTTGAATGGGCTACTCTCAGGAACATACTCGTAGCGTACGTATGCAGTGTATGTAGCACATATGCATGATTGAGTTTACGGTACAATAAATACCCGTCGGTGTCGAATACTACATGCACTACTGCCAGCTGCTACTACTTGTATGGAGTATGTAATACACGATGCATCTTTCTGCGGGGAGATCCGCTTGCGAGCTCTGTTGCTCAGACGTCCTCGTCGTCATCGTTCCTGTGCCCCCCTGCAGTTGTATGAATCAGATAGGAGTTCAGTCAGCTGCTTGGGAGGCCGCTGGAACTATCGGAGTCCAGAGCGCCGCCCCAGTCTGCAAAGGTGAGCACGGAATAAACGTCTAGTACGTATAGTAGAATCACCGTTGCAAAAAGGCAGAAGAAACAAAAGGGGCCGTGTGACTACCATTGTATTAGTCGACATTTACATAAGACCAGGAATCGGATTCGTCGAGGGCAGCAAGTACGTGTAAAAGCTCATGTAGTATGTGCGTAGTCTAGATTGACGAGTCACAATACTCGAAATGGTTGGTCGCTTTGACGGTAACTTGGATGATCGGCCGTAAATGAAATCGCGAATTGTGTGCAGGATCTAGACCATGGCATTCATGATCAACATAGATGCCCGCCAAGCTTCAGCAGCTGTGTCGCAGCCAATTGCTCTACTCTATCCACTATTTCAAGCTAGGTTGATTAGATCCTTGTCGGTTGGGTAGACTTTGTTCGTCACGAGTTCTCCCGAGGACGCTATCGTGAGATGATACAAATCAAAGTCCCCTTTTTTTATTTTGTGTGATTTTTGACAATTTTTTTTTTCTCTGTCTGTCCCTCTCCTTGCGATAACCCCACTTCAAGTCCGTGTTGTTAAAGTACTAGGTAGGGGCCTCGCTCAAGTTGCCCCTCCCCCTCATCCGTCCTGCCCAGTCGTAGTAGTTAGGCGGTGGCATCAGTCCCCGATCTCCACGGGGCTCCCGCAATTTTGAGAATGGACGGAATGGCTTGGCGTTTCCCAGGATTTAGGATTCAGCTTGGCTCTTTCTCGTGACTTGACTGTCAACCACTCGATCGGGTCCAGACCTGTCGTATATGAGTCTGTGTGTACAAGGTAGCCGGTTTCTTTTTTGGGTCTGTCTTGGCTACATGTGTCAACGGTATTGATCTTCAGTGTATAAACTATACATGCTGTATTGTGCACGAAAGCAAAGAGTCGTCATCCACCGATGCCAAACTCCACGTCTTCAGGTAAGTGTGATGGAATATATGTACAAACTTGGCGGCTTCTCCGCTTCTTTTCAAGTATCGTCGTTGCAGATCTCCCGGCAGAGCTGCCCAGGACAGAACTGGCCTTTCTATGCTTGGGAAGGTGGCATTTCTTGGGCAGTCCAACTTTTATTTTTCCTAAAACCAACGCATCTTAATCAATCGGCTCCCTCGCGTCTCCCCTTTTCTCTTCTCTTCTGTCTGTCTGTCTGTCTGTCTTTAGGAACCTCGAGGGCCCTATGGAGACACGGGCACGATCGCCCCGCAGCCTGCAGATACCACATCTACATTACATACTGCGCCGCCATCTATAAACGAACCAACTTGCCAGCAGGTATGTACATAGTAATAATAGTGTGCATGAGGCTTGCATTGACCAAGAGCTAGCATGCCCTATCCAAAAGGTGACCCCTTCGTCATGCACAATCCCAAATCCGTTCAAGTTGGTGGCTCAGTAGCCAACCAGACGGCAGCATCCTGGGGTGTCACGACAGATGCTAGGCACGCTACCCAGCAAGCGAATGACTAGGATGACTATCAACCCTCGACTTGCTTCCGTGCTTTTCCGATGTTTCTGCCTCTATTACTACTTCAATATCAAAACAATTGACGACGCAAAGCAAGATGCGGAACCCAGCAGCACATCATATTGAGGTTTCATGGATGGCTTGGAGATAACGCATGCAACCCAGCTTGAAACATTTTGGGCCGTGCCGATCACATACACCATCCTCGACCTCGATCACGGCTTCAATGGCGGATAAAGTGAACGCCGGGTCGTACAAAAGGTCAGAAAACAGTCACGTGCCCTCAGTCATCTCTCGATCAAATGAATTCGCATACATCATACAAACGAGTTTCAGTATTGTCTATCTCCTTTGCTTAACTCCCATGATTCTTCTTTGGACAACGAGAAGCACCGGAACAAATCGAACATCACGGCATGCCATGGGACAACTATAACCCATGTCAAAGACAATACATACATTAGCTTGCTAGTGTTTCGTCTACTACGAGAATAATAATCGGCATCGCGATCCACACCCCCGGAAATGTGTAGCCAATTCACACCCTGAAAGGACCCGGGAAAGCCCGGGCACTTATAGACTTTTCCTTACTTTATCGAAACCACCAACAGTCACAAGGTGATCAACCTCCAAAAGGACTATCCCATTATCCTAGTCGGGTAGGCAAAGTCGGCATCATGAAGGGAGGCAGCCTATGTCCAAGCAAACCGAGTCACCGAAAATCTCGATTGCTGTCTTTTATCTGCCGGCAGTTGCGGTCAGTTTGGTTTAAGAAATCACTACATACTGCATGGTCGTTTTTGGACCGTTTGATGTTTTTACCGCTGAGACTTTCTTGTGCTAATACAGATACTACTTGGCCCAAATAGTAAAATTCGTCTGATGGTAGTCGTCAAATCAGATTTCCATGCTTACCTAGTGCCAAGTCCATTGACCTGACTAAATCCTCCGCGCATCACAATTTTTTCCCCTCCCACCCCCTTCTCTTATTCCCCCCGCATAGCAGATCTGCGTTTTTCTGGGGAAGGGAGAAAAAAGGAAGAATGACTTGGCACTTTCGTCATGTCTACGCCTACTTCCAAACAGGCCGCATCCCGGGAGACTTGACACGACTGCGCCCGTCTGCCGCCCCGGAATAACGGAGAACCTGGAGGGACTTGATCGGTGAACAAAGCCCGCCCTTTTGTCCGTGTCCCCCTTCCCTTACCAACACGGACCCAAGAGGACTCCATGCCCAGATCTCGTGAGGCGATAAAGTTTTGCTGACATCATTCGCGACCTTCCTGGTGAAAGATATCTTGTCTAAATATGATTGCTCCGTAAATGTGAACCAGAGTGGTGAAGCGCGGGCTTGATCCAATCTCACTGTCTTTACTACATATACTTTGCCACCAAGAGTTGAGATGAAATGAAAAACAAGCAGAAATACTTGATACACGAATATTCATCACAACTAGGAAAAAGGAAAACATGAATAATTGTGGGAAACAGTAGCAGAAGCAATGCGGTGAAAGGGAGTCAATGCCCGCGGATCACGGGCATGGAAAGTCTGCCTTTAGCTCACTTCTAGATCCGAAACCAGTTTCAATGGAAGTAACATTGCGTTGCATAGCATGGAATGCACTGTGATTCGTCATCTGATTCGGTCGTAAGGATAATTGAACTTGACTAAACGACAGGTTCACAATTCATAAAGTGACTCCATTATCCATTTAATCACAATGCGCACTAGGCCAAAGGCTATGTAGCCAGTAGACAGAAAATGAAAAGAGACGATGTGTTTACAAATAAAAAGACGTGGATTAGATTTCATTGGAAGACATGGGTCTCATAACTTATTGCCCGCAGCTGCGCTTGAAATAGTGAACGTGATCGTGTGTCTATTGTCTTATGATCCCACGCTATCTACTCATATCTATCATCTTCTGTGGACTACACAAACCGTGCTATACTCATGTTGATATTTTATGACATTTCACTCCTCGTTGTTGAAATGCCTCAAGCATGACGAAGGAGAACAAAAGCACTCGCTACGTACAAGCACCAGCAAGGCAGGAAACATTACTCAGGGATAGTCCACCAAATACAAATGCTGATTGCTATGGCAGTGGTCTATAAAGGGATTGACTCATCTATAGTGCCGCCTTTTCATTTCCATCGCCCGACAACGGCGGGTCGGCTCTATTCTTGACGTACTTGTCAAACCATGTGAGCATTTCGTGAACAACATGCTCATTAGTCTCCTGGGCACTATACGCATGGGGCTCATGCGGAAGAACAACGAGGCGAGAGACGCCGCCATTGCCACGAATAGCCGCGTACAGCATCTCGGACTGAAAGAGCTTGGTCCCCGGGTTGGCGTCGTCGGCGCCGTGCATGAGCAGCAGGGGCGCCTTGATCTTGTCGGCGGCGAGGAACGGCGAGACCTTGTAGTAGACGTCGTGCGCCTCCCACAGGGAGCGGCGCTCGCTCTGGAACCCAAAGGGCGTAAACGTCTTGTTGTAGGACCCGCTGGTGGCGACGCCGGCGCGGAACAGGGCCGAGTGGGCCACCAGGTTGGCCGTCATGAGTGCGCCGTGGCTGTGGCCCGTCACGCCGATGCGGTCGCGGTCCACCACGCCCAGCCGCACCGCCTCGTCGACGGCCGCTTGCGCGTTGGCCACGAGCTGCTCCAGGTATGTGTCATAGGCCTTTTTGGGATCGCCAATGATGGGGAATGAAACTCGGTCAATGACGGCGTAGCCGGCCAGAAGGAGGTAGCTGTACTTGGCCAGGCTGGTGAACTGCTTCAGTGAGCCCACAATCTGGCCCGCTGTCGACGCTCCCGCATAGTCTCGCGGATAGGCATAGAGGATAGCAGGCAGGCGAGTGCCCTCCTGATAGCCGGGCGGAGTGTACAGCTTGAAGGACAACTCCAGCCCATCTTCGCGCTTAAACTTGACGAGACGCTTCTTGATTTGGCGCACAGCTGGTGTTGGATCGACGTCGTGGGTGATGGCTACGCTGTCGGAATCCCAAGTGGCCTCGCGCTCAGCGGCGTCGATTCGTCCCGAAAGAGATCGGCGGAAGATGTTGGGCGGGTCGTCTGGCGATTCTCTGCGGGTGAGGAATGTGTTGGTGTCTGACTTGTCGAAATCAACAAAGTATTCGTAGCAAGACTTGGAACTACGGAAGAGGCGTTCGGTCTCCAAAGACTTGAGGTCAAGCCGGTCCAAGAAAGGACGATCACCATCAGGTGAAGAGCCGTTCCCGGAAAGGTAAATCGAATCGCCTTCTTGTCGCATCACACGAGCTCCATTGGGAAGTTTGCGATACACTGGTGTACCCGGATGATCATACCTCTCTTGCATCGAAAAGTCCCAGAGCAGCCGCCGGTTCTCTGGTTCGTCAATATTGAAGATGTAGCTGCGGTTCCATTTCTTGTTTATATCATACTCGGACAATATCGCCATGTCTGAACGTTCGCCCCAGCGAATGTGTTCGAATCGGTACTCGGTGCGAGTGACCTCTTTAGGGGCCGCATCAAAGGGAGCTTCCAACAACATGATCTTGTCACGAGCCGGAACGCTGACGCCAAAGTCACCTCCATCCAGGGCTTCAGCCCATACGAGGGTGGCCGGTGCATTGGCCCTCCAGGAAAAGAGCCTAGGGCCTGTCCTGACGCCCTTGATGGGAACGCGCTCTGCCAATGGGAGTGAAGCAATGGTTTGTTTGGAGACTGATTGACCCTCCAAGTTGGACCAGATCTCAATGTTTCGGGGGAAACGGACATGTGTTGTGATGTGAGAGTAGGGTCGCTGGATTGTTTGGACAAGTAGATACTTTCCATCGGTCGAGGGGTCGAGTGATAGGAAGCGGTCGACCTCGCCAACATGTCTCGTCTCCAAAGTAGATGCATCGACAAGGGCGAGTTGAGCAGCAGCGTAGTAGTCGAAGAGATCCTCATCGTGTGCATTTTTGAGGGTATCGCGAGTCTCGTAGGTGCTACTCTGTCCCTTTTCACCGTTGGCCTCGAGAATGTCAGGACCTGAGAGGGTGACGGGCGTCGACGGTGGTGCGCCTAGATTGGCTGGCACGAGTTTGACAAGCAGTGTCTTTTGGTCTGGCATCCATTGCAGCGTGTCGCCCAGCATGGGATTGAGGCGGACGTTCTGCACTTGCTTGACCACGCCCGTCTGGCCATCACCGATCCACAGCTCTACAGCCTCGTCGGTGATGTGACGAAAGGCAAAGAACCGACCGTCGGCGCTCCAGATTGGGGAGCCGAGGCGGGCATTGTCAAAAGGGAGTTCGATGCGCGTTCGCTTGCCGTGGGGAATCTGCACGAGATCGTAGCGGTAGGCGCTAGGAGCAAAGCCGCTACCGCGAACATTGTCACGTCGGCTGTGGTTGTGAGGCTCGACGCGAACGCCGGCCAAGCGCAGGAAAGGAGCAGCCAAGCGTTCAATGGGAGGATGCTTCTCCCACTGCACCATGATCATGCGATCAATAGTCGGGCTCAGGACCGGAACAGCAGGCGAAGGCGCCTGCATGACGTCCAAGATGTCCTTGGGCGGCTGGGCGTAGCCCGAGGTGGGATTGCCATTGGAAGACATGTTGAGTTGACAGTGTAAATTGTAAAACAATGACAGACGTCAACCTTTGCAATCGTCTGTAAGAATTTGGGCCGACAACGTTATAGTTGCCAATGGTATAAGATTTTTGGTGGAGGCGGGATAAGTCAGCAGCAGGGATTAGTGGGACGAATGGGACGAACTGGAGTGAGTTTTTACCAGAAAAGGTGAGCCAAGCCCACCTTTCACACTGCGAAAATCTTTTATAGGTGCAGGGGTTCGTTCGGATGTAACGCTGCGCCTCTTATAGACGTCCCTTATCAGGTTGCTTATAATCACGCAAGTAAATCAGTGCTGCAATACGCCCCTGCAAAAGGTCCTGAGCATTCTTCCAGGCAACACTCACTTGAAAAGCCCCGCACCTCACTTCAGCGTCTATTCGAATTGACTGTGAGACTGCAACAAGAAAGGGATACGCATATGCTATGAAATCATTCATTCACGTCGTAGGACCTCTGAGGTATATCCTACTGTAGTAGACTCGTGTGTTCTCATGTCATAGCCCTTGACCTAGCTGGTATTTATCTGTCCACAAGCTTCGAGCTAGTCCCAAGTAACTAACTTTTTAAGTATACTGTTGTGATGTTTCTGAAGGTTGTTCCTGTCGGTTGCATCTGTCTTATCCTGGTGTCCTCCATTAGATAAAACCAATGGCGAGAAATTCTTTGACACAATTGATCCGGCCAAAAAGAGAGCTCGTCCTTGCAAACACTGCCCTCATCAATGAATCTCGTTACTTCCTGTTGTCACTTTCCAGTTGAGTCAATGTTTTTTCCCCCTCCTCTTCAGGCTCTTCGTGGGCTCCACACGATGCGTCTTAGTTTCTCTTCCGCATTTACATACACCATGAGTGAACGACTTTGTCAGCCACTGATAAGGAACAAACTGCCATGAGAGAGACAATAGAATGATCGCTGGAGGTCTAGCCCAAATGACTGCTAAGAAATGCAACGACCATCTGTGATGGTTGTTGCGGTACTTTCCCCCAATATATCAATGGGTTCGGTAGGCAAGTTTTGAGGTGTCAGCGCTTATTGCCGACACTATTGTTGCGCTTTTGAGAAAAAGACACTTCGGGGAAAGGTGGTGTGATATATAAAAAGCTACGAGCCGTCCTAGGACGGAAAACCCAGGTACTACGGTACCCCGTGGGGGTACCTTGCCCGAAAGTTTTACTCTTTGAGGCACAGGATAGGCTCGCAGGAACTTGAATTTTTGATGTCGGCTTGGCAACCGGCACGTCGAACTGCTTTTGGTCTCGAGTCTGGGCCCGAATCGTGATCTTCGTGTCTCTTCTGCGGAATTGTTGAAGCCATCACGGTGACTTCCGATGACTCGCAAAGTCCCATCAAACATTCTTCGCGGCTCTTCATGGAGAGGGTCATTGCGGTCTCTCAGGATGGTCCTGAGGATTCAACGGATTCACAGTGACGCTGATTGAGAGTAGGCGCAAGAGCTGACGGGTCGATCCCCTAGACGTTGGAGCATCTTCTCCACCTGCGTTTCAGGCTTTTGCACATTATCTGAAAGGATGATAATGTCGCTCATGTCGGCGCTGCAACAGTCTTCCAGATGTCCCATCGGGGTATTGGGGATGTAGCGCTGAAAGGCGGATGGTCAATTCGAGAGACCAAAGGTAAGTACATTGAGCTGCCTCTGGCTGTGTTGTCAGCCAGAGAGCTATTAGCAGTCAATGATAGTACATTGTTCACCATGAAATCCGCGAAAGAGAGAAGAATCCCTCATATATCGTTCTAGGACAATGAAAATGAATGTCACTGTGCACCTAGGGTTGATCTATTTCTTACGTTCTTCGGAGTCTTTGCATCCTTGGAGCCAGCTGCCAAGGAGTTCTAGATGCTCATCGTTCGATGTCGGCCGACCAAATCTGGCCATAATAGATGAGCACAATGCAACAACTTGTCTTACTTGGCACTCGAGGAAGTAGTAAGAATAGAATTTGAAAATGAAGAGGGATGAAGTTATTGAGCCGAGGAGAGAGTGTCTATGCATATTTATAGTGATGGAAGATCTAGACATGAATCAGTGAGCGTCACATATTGACTCATAACACCACTGGCTATCAGTGCTGGGACTAAGTCAAGTCGATTTACTTAACAAGTCGGACTTACTTGAATAAGTAAGTAAGTATTCAATTTTCTCCAGACTTATAAGTAAGTCCTTTTTCGAGCCAGACTTGACTTGACTTGATAAAAGTGCATACCAGGTATATATAAGGAGGAAATATGCCTACCTCGTAGGTACCTAGGCGCCGTTGGGACGGCCTTTAGCTGTAGGCCCGTGCACCCCCCCCC